GGCCTTTCTGGCCAACAGCATGTTTGTGCGATTCCTCCCATCTTGTTACATATGGCAATAGTGCCTTCATTCTCACTGCCAAGTTCTAGCTCACGAGAATGTGATCTGTTTACCTGTTCCTCTCTTGATAGGTATTGTGAACAGTTGGCATACATGAGTAGATGGCTCAGGGTTTAATGAACACATAGAAGTCTACGTGTCAGGAAACTCCAAAAAGTTGGTGGAAAATGGAATTAAAAGGTAAGTTTATCTTGGCACCAAACATTCTGAAGTCTACACATTTGAGGGATAGTCAAGGGGTTCATAGAAAATGTACACTACGAACACTGGATTCCGAAACTTTTTGCACCAATATAAGCGTCTTTTTAAAAATATGTTATTTATTTTCCCACTTCTTTGGAAAGTGAAAAAAATCAGTGAGACGGGCTCTTCCATCCACTGATTGATTCCCCAAATGCCTACAACGGCCAGAGTCTGGCTAGACTGAAGCCAGGAGCCCCAAAGCCCCAAACTCCATGCTGCCCTCCAGGGTGTGCGTTGCAGGAAGTGGAACTGGAAGCAAAGTTGGAATTCCGAAGATGGGCACTCTGGCCCAGGATGCCAGCCAGCAGCCTCTTCACTGCTGTGCCCCTCAGCTGCTTTTTAAACTCCATTTCTTCCTGATGTTCTGAAGCACCCTTTACTTAGAAGGAGAATTGCAATTTTATGAGAATCAAGTTTTCTACCTTAATATTAAAAGTTTTTTTGAGGAAAAAAAGTTAAGATCCGGGCAGGCATTTGGCCTGGAAGTTAAGATCCTGACAGCTCCCATCAGAGGGCCTGCTATCTGTTGTATTTAGTGAAGCTTTTTTTTTTTTAAAGACACACCAATTGGGCCCGGCGCGGTGGCGCAAGTGGTTAAAGGTCCTCACCTTGCACCCCCGGGATCCCATATGGGCGCCGGTTCTAATCCCGGCAGCCCCGCTTCCCTTCCAGCTCCCTGCCTGTGGCCTGGGAAAGCAGCCGAGGACGGCCCAAAGCTTTGGGAACCTGCACCCGCGTGGGAGACCCGGAAGAGGCTCCTGGCTTCGGATCGGCATAGTATCGGCCCGTTGCGCTCACTTGGGGAGTGAATCATCGGACGGAAGATCTTCCTCTCTGTCTCTCCTCTCTGTATATCCGCCTTTCCAATGAAAAAATAATAAAAATAAATCTTAAAAAAAAAAATAAATAAAAATAAAAAAAAAAAAAGACACACCAATAGAAAGAGAAATCTTTCATCTGCTGTTTCACTCCTCACTTGCTGCTTCACTTCTTAAGTGGCCACAGGGTCCAGGAGGTTGAAACTCTATCCCCATATCCTTCATGGCTGGCAGTGGCCCAAGCACTTGGCCATCATCGCATGCCCTCCCAGGTGCACAGCAGGGAGCTGGATTGGAAGTAGAGCAGCTGGAACTTGACCTGTGGGTTGCTGGCAATGCAAGCGATGCAAGAGGCAACTTCGCCCATTGTGCTGCAATGCCGGCCTCCAGTGTGTTTGGGTTTGAGTAAAGGCTCCACTTGCCATTGCAGCAATCTCATAATGCATACCCTATTGAGGGCACTTGGGGAGTGAGCCAACAGATCGGCTTTTACTCCGTCTTTTCCCCTAAAAGAAAAAAAAAAGTAGAAATATGGAATACCTGAGCCCACCTGTAATGGCATTGTGGGAATAAGAAGATGAGTGTTTCTGGGCACACAGTCCAACACCCCCACACCTGAACATCAGGCCAAGTGCAATTAATCCACTTCATCCCCCACAAAAACAGCAAACAAGCTGACCTGGGAAGGGCATCCACTTATTATACAGCGGGAAGAGCTAGGAGCCAGTTCTTGCTGTACCACATCCCAGCTATGTGCCCTGGGGCAGGTGACCTGTAAAATGGGGAGCAGAGCCACCTCCTGCAAGCAATGAGGCCGGCAGTTATTTAGTAAGTGGTAACTCAGGGTTTGCAGCCTTCCCTCATTTTCAGGGAGGGGCTTACAAGAAGGAACACAAACATTTTTGGAAGGCACAGGCTGGACATTCTATCCTGGCTCTTCCACGCTGTCCTGCTGACCCCCGGAGGTGCCAGGCTCCCATCCCTCGTCCAGGTTAAACACCAGCAAGTGACAGAGCCTAAAGTTCTGCGCAAGACTGTCTGACTCCAGGTCCCCCGCTCTGAGCCGAGGTCTTGCTTCCTGTCCTGAATCCCTGGAAGGAGCAAGGACCAGAAGGAGAGTGTTCTGGTCAGACCTGGTCACTCAAAGTGTCCCACTATGCCAAAGTCTCCTGTACATATCCCAGATCCCTAACTCTCACTCTACTCTCAGCCTTCACCGCAGCGAGGGAGTGGAGATGCGTGGTCATCAGGTAGCTGGCCTGACCCCAGCAGCGTGGTCCAGGACTGTCCACACACCCAGACCTTCATCCAACTTACTCTTCCCAGAACATGAATCGGGTCATTCCTCCAAGGCCTGCCTTCCTTCCGACCATCCTGCTCCTCCTGAGAGCCTGCAGTAGGCAGTGTTACGTGGAGAACCCTGTGAGCCACTTGCCACTTCACCGTGTTCAACCCATGTGGCCCTGGCTGGATTCATGCTCCCTCATTTATTAGCTGTGGATACTTGGGCAAGGAACGTGATTATTTTGTGCCTCAGTTTCCTCTTCTGCAAAATGCAGATCATAGAACTACCAATTCCATAGGGATACTGTGCCAATTAAATGGGCCAGCCAATAAGCCTGGCATGGGGTCCTCATCAAACGCTAGCTGTTACTGTATGCCTGTTGCTATTGCTATTGCTACACAGAAAAGCTCACTGTAATATCCAAGTAAGTGGCTCTTAAGAGTCCTCCCCCCAATTTCTTTATTTTTAAAGTATTTTTGAAAAGATTTATTTATTTTTACTGGAAAGTCAGAATTACAGAGAGGAGAAGAGACAGATTTTCCATCCACTGTAGGTGAAACAACCAACCGAAGCCAGGAGCCAGGAGCTTCTTCTGGGTCCCCCATGTAGGTGCAGGGTCCCAGGGATTTGGGCCATCTTCTACTGCTTTCCCAGGTTACAAAGCAGGGGTCTAAATGGGAACTGGAGCAGCTGGGACCTGAACCGGCATCCATATGGAATCCCAGTGGATGCAAGGTGAGGATTTAGCCACTAGTATCGGGTTCAGGGCCTGTGTCCCAACAACTTCATTCCTAGGAAGCAGAAAGGCTCCAAATTAGGACCTAGGCAGGTGTCAATAACAGTACTACTACTTCTGGCTGCTGCAACCTCAGAAAGAGCACTGGGGCCTCGCAGACCCTTGTCGATTTCCACAAAGTAACTGGGACCAGGAAAGCGCCCTGGGTTCAATCCCCAGCTCCTGCTCCTGGGAACTGGAACCCTGGGATGCTGCCGCGGTTCGGTCGCTGCCACCCACCTGGGAGACTTGGATTAAGCTCCGGTCTCCTGCTTTGGCCCCTCGGCTGGTAACCCAGGTAATGGAGGTCTCTTTCTGCCTTTCAAATAAATAAATTTATCCTAAAAGGCGGGGGCATTCCTTCTTGCCCTTATTTGCACTTCAGGGCCCTTCCCTTGGTTAGGGAGCCCCAGCATCTCCGGGCGGGAGGTGGAGAAGCGCTCTTTGGAGAGCCGCACCGCTCGGCCGACCCAGCTCAGCACTCCCAGACCCACGGGGCGGAGGATCTAGTCAGATTTCTCCGGTCGCCCGGGCGTCAGCTACTACTAGAGCCCGCCCCGCCCCGCTGGATGCAGGGCCTTACCCCCTCCCGACCCAGACACACACAGCAGCGCCGCCGCCGCCCCTGCAGTCCCCGGAGCAGACGCCGAATTCTGTTTACAATCTCATTTGTCCGAATAATCGCTTCAACTTTGCACTTGGCCGGGTCCGCGTGGACCCGGGCATGGGCCCCCTTCTTCTCTGGTTCCGGGAAAGTCCCCTTCAGAGGAGCGAGGCGGCCCGCCGAGGGAGGGTGGTTTGCAAATTCCCGCTCCCAGCCCGGTTCAGAAAGCCCACCCGCAGCCCCCACGCCGTGAGGAGCGCAGGGAAGGTAGGGTAGGCCCCTGTCCCGAGTTCGGGCCCCCCCTCTGGCCCCCGGGCCACTCCCCGCGTCGGGCGCAAGCCCGCCGAGAACCAGTGAACCGTGTGGGAGCCGGACTCGGCCGTTCCTCCAAGCTGCAGCGAGAGGCCAGCTTTTACAAAGCGCTCCCAACCCCCCAACCCCCCCAGCCTGAGTCCGAGGACGAGGTGAAGCCCCGGGGTTCTCCCCGCCTGCCCTTCTCTTTCCGATCCGGAGCCCGGCGCCCTCTTCCCCTCCACCAAGCACGGCCCCACTTTTCTCTCTCCCCTGAAGTTGGCTCCACGTGGTCACCTCTGGCTCGCGGCAGGCGGCGTCGCCGGGGGAAAGCGGCTGCACCTGCTTTAGGCGAATTATGGTAGCGCTAGAAGTTGGTGGGCCCTCCCCGCGCCGCTCGCCGCTCCCTCCTCCTGCTCGCCGCGCGCTCCCTCCTTCCCCTCCTTCCCTCCGCCTCCCGCGTCCCCGCCCGCCCCGCCCGCGCGCCGCCCGCTCGCAGCCACTCGCAGCCCGGGCGCAGTCGCAGCCCCTCGGAGTGTGCAGCCGGCCGGCCCTGCGGATCGGACGGTGCGGCCGGCGGCCGGGACGGAGCCCCCCACGGCCCGCGGAGAGGGCGCGGCGCGGGCGGCGGCGCAGGCGGCGGCGGCGGCGCGGCGGGGAGGAGCCCGGGGCCGGAACCAGGGCTGGGCCGGGGGGCGGGGACGCCGGGGTCCTGGAGCCCAGGAGCCGGAGCAGCGAGCGAGCGAGCGTCGCGGGAGCACCGGGAAGGAGGAGAAGCGGCACCCGGGGCGAGCCGAGCTGCTCACAAAGTGCGATGCCCCGGCGGGGCTGAAGCGCGCGGCGGCGAGGAGGACGCCCGGGAGCGGCGCGGCGCGGGCCGGCGCGGAGGGGCAGCCCCGGCGGGCGGCGGCGGCGGCGGCGGGCCCGGCTGCGCCCCGAGCGAGCCCCATGCCCGGCGCGGACTGACGGGCCGGAGCCCGCACGGAGCGACCGGGCGGGACAGGTAAGGTGGCGGGTCGGGCCGGCACCGAGTGGGGGCTGGGCCGGAGCCCAGACCAACTCCCTCACTCGGCGCACTCTCTCGCCTGCTTCTGGCTCACTTTGTGTTTGCAAACTGCCCGCCGCAGCCGCGCCGGGCGCCGGGAGGAGCCGGGCCCCGGCCGGCGCACTTTGTTCCAACGAGGGCCAGCCCCGGCGCGCTGACCCCACGCAGCCGCGACACTCCGCCCCCGGCCCGGGCCCCCGCGGGCAGGAGCTCCGCAGGGAACAGGTGGGGGCCGCGGCGCGCCGACCGGGAAGGGGGGAGGGGGCGGCCCGGAGGCCGGAGGAGTGGTGGTGCTGCTGGTGGTGGTGGTGGGGCCGTTGGAGGGGGCCCCTGAAAGCCGGCCTCCCCACCAACTGCGGCGCCTCCGCCCCCTGCCTGGCCGCAGGGGATGGGGTGTAAGGAGGGCGCGACACCCCGTTGCCTCGAGTCAGACAAAGACTGCTTCCCGGGCCGGACCGGCCGGGGCTGGGAAGGGAATCGGGCTTCTCCCCCCCACGCTCGCCGCCCAGCTCCAATCTGCGCGGGACACCCTGAGACGCACCACTAGCCGAGGGACCCGAGGCTTGGCCCGGGTTCCACCGAGGGCACCCCACCTTGGAAGCGCCGGGAGCTTTCGTCCGCTTCTCCCCATTCCTCGCACGGCTCTGAGATCGAGTGGAAAAGTTCTTGGGGACTTAGGAGCGTCTGGAAATGGTCCTTAGGACTTTGTGCGCCGCCAGAGAATGGGGGGCCCTATTGGACTACTCGCCTCGTTTGGGGAGAGCTTCCACCCCACCTTGGAGGGGGCGGCCAGTGCCCGGAGTCCAGTGGGGAAGAATGTCCCGGCGTAACCAAACTGGACCTCACCTTCCATCCCAGACCGGGGCCTCTGCTGTCGCCCCACGGCGACCCCTGTACTTCTCCCAGACCGATCCCGGCGACGCTCCCGCCTCGCGCGCCCTTCAGCAGCAAACTTCCTTGAGTTGTGCCGGAAGAAAGAGCCTTTGGCGCTAGCATTCGGGGGTACCCCCGAATGTCCTGGGCTCCTGGCCATTGCATGTGTTAAATTTAATGATTTCGCGGGATGCGGATTCGGACACAGAGGCCCCGATGGCGGCGGATCTGCCTTCTCCCGCCTAACTGGGGCCACCTGTGAACCGGCTGGCGCCCCCACCGCCACCGCCTTGGCTGGAGGGAAGGGATAGGGGTCTCCGAGCCGGAGCTTGGCCCGCACCTCCCGTCTCTGCCTCCCCCCCTTCCCCGGTCTTTTGCCAGCGGTCGCCAGGTGGATCCTCCCTCCGCTCTGTCGGCACCTGGGAGTTGGTATCCGGAGGCCAGTGCCCTGGCGCAGGCCCGCACGACCGCTGGCTGCAACACCGAAGCTAGGGCTATGGTGAAGGGACCCCGGAGGAGCAAACCTAGCCCTGAGGCAGCCCCTCAGGCGGTTTCCATGGAAGTCCAGGTGTATTTTGGCCAATGCGGGTTTTCTTTTTTTTTTTTTTTAAACCTGAACTTGAGCATCTTCTTGTGGGTGTCCAAGTGCCCGCCTTGGCCCCCCGGGGACTGAACTGGGTTGCGTCTGGAAGGAATTTGGGGCGGGCGGGCAGATTCTGGAGTAATGGCTGGGGTTTGCCCAGGTGCCCTGCAGGTGGTGAGTGCTGCTGGTGGCCGACGAGGGTCGCATCCATTCCCATTGCCAGCCCTTTGGCTGACTGCCGGCAAAGGCTGTGCATCCAAGCAGCACTGGGTGCCCCGAGCTCCCCGAGCTTAGCAGGTGAGCTTAGAGTTTGGCCTGGGGCCCTGCACCAGGGTGCCCAAAGGGCTCACCTAGGACAACTTCTGCCCACCCCCTCAGGGAGGGCTGCAGGCTTACTTGCTTTTTTTTTTTTTTTTTTTTCTTTCAACTTGAGAAACTTTGTCTCGAAGAGCTCTTTGTCGCCTGGTGGGAGGAGGGAGGACGCCAGGACTGTACTGGGGGCCTCTGGGCTGCGTGCAGGCTCCCCTGGCTGCTGACCTCTGAGTACCTACACAGTTTGTGCTGGGGGGCTCCCCATCTGGCGGTGTTCCAGGCTCTTGGGCAGCCAGGTGGAGGGGGAGGAGATGGTGCTGTTGCTGCAGGAGGACCCCCTTGGCCCCACATCAAGGCCCCCAGCCCGTACCCCGCCACATCTAAGTCTTTCCTCGTGGCCCCTCAGGGCCTGCTTTCTCCTGGTGCTGGCCTTGGCACCAAGTTTCTCCTGGCACTAATGGTTGTCCCTTCCCCCCGGACTTCTGTCTTTCTCCAGTCCTGGGCAGATTCCCTGGGATTGGGGAACCCCTGAACCCTGGAAGGAAATGGCCAGATACCAAGGCTGGACAATGGTGGAGACAGGGCCAACTGTCTGGGCCAGCAGCTTTCTGTGTGGGTGCCTGTTAGGGCACCCCTTCGCCTCCCCAGACACCCCATCCCCCTTCTGCCTTGGGCCAGAAACTTCCTTTCTGGCTTCAGGCAGGTAGGTCGCTTCTTGCCTGGAATGTGCATATCCTGCTGGGCCCCTACTCTAAACACACTTCTTCCTTGGTGGAGGGGGAGGGGAGGAAAGGGGGAAGATGGGACACTTTCTTTTGATGCAGTAATTCCCTACACCTCTGCTGAGCCCCCCATTCTGCCTGGGCAGGTTCCTAGGCTGGGTACTGGGGATGCCCAGGCCATGAAGGCTGGGGTGTGCTCCCTGGATCCCAGTTTGTTGGGGTTGGAGAGACAGCCAGACTTTCCCAGCAAAGAAAAGGGTGGGAGCTGTCTCTCTGTTTCAGAGTACAAGTATGAGCGGGGAGGGGAGGGTCTCTTCCCCAGGGAGCTAGAAACCTACCCTGCTGGTCCTGTTCCCTCTGCCCCTGGACCTTAGCCCTGAAAGGTTCTTAGGACCTCATCCCCAGTGCTAACCCCACACTTCCATCCCAAGCAGGTACAATGGCTTTGCTTCTTCTGATAGCTCCCACCATGTTTCTGCCAACCAGGGGCCCTGGCAGGACTCCTTCTTTTCTCAAGTAGCACTGCTCCCGCCGGTCTCTCAGACTTTGGGAAAGCAGGTGTGGTGTTTAAAACCGGACACTGAGGGTCAGTGGGCTGATTGGGCATCCTTGAGACTTAAGTGGGGCCCAGGGCAAGGAATCGGTGGGGGGCGGGGGTGTCCCTGGCACAACAGTACTTGTGAGTAGAAAGGGCCTTGGAGGTTGGTGGTAGAGATGGTACTCTGGGGAGCTTAATTAAGCTCTTGGAACCTTAATTTTCTTGGACTGTAAAGTAGGTCAGTACTTACTCCCCACCACCGAGAGGCTGGGAGCTGAAGAACGGATGTGAAGTACCTTGCTTGATGTTTGCCTCGGGGAGTGCCAGTCTAGGGGTGACTTTTTGTGTGCGGTCATTTTTTGTTGTTGGTTGGCTAGCGCTGTCCCAGCTGGATGTTGAACTGTGTACTGGAAATGCTGGACTCTTCACCTTCATTTTGTTGAGTTGGGGAAAAAGAAGCCCTGAGAGAGGAGACTTGCCGATGATGACACTGTGATGACGCAGTAGCCGAGGTGGGACTGTAGCCCAGGCTCTGCCTCCCAGTGTAACCCTTAGGGCTCCAGTCACTGCTGCATGCAGGGGGTCCAGTTCCTCTCACCCCTTTCCTCCTGCTCCTTCTCCCAAAGTTGTCCGTGGAGCTGGGAGGAGGAAGCAGGAGCGAGCTCCTCCTGGCTTAAGAAGGAAGGTTTCCAGAGTTTGCAAGCTCTTAGCTACTTAGCTGTAGGGCAGGTGTAATGCAGCAGGTCGCCGGCCAGCCTGGGACCTCCGCCTGAATGGCTCATGTCAAAGAGGGAAAAACAAACTTCCCCACAGCCTGAAGTGCCGGCTCCGGCTCGTCTTCGGCAGCGGACGGCAGCTGCCCCAGCGTTGCAGTGTGGAAAAGTGGCGCCCCACTCACAGCTACTTCTGCCATGCCGGGAACCAAAGCAGGAGCCCTCCCAGTTTTTTGGCATGCTCTGTGACTGTTCTGCGGATGGAGGGCTCGGTGAGGGAGAGAGAGCTCCTGGGTTCTTGCAGAGCCTTTGCTGCAGACAGCAGCTCACATACATTAGAAGAAAGCAGGAGCAAAAGGTCCCTGTGTCGACAGGGTGTTGGGCTGTGGCAATCAGAGCTGCGGGGGGCCACTGGGCCTCCGCCTGGCTGCTCCCCGCCTGGCATACAGGATTACAATCTCCTGGCTCTTCTTCCAGCACAGCCCTGCTCACCTTTTTTTTTCTAGCCTGGTTAACAGTCCCACCTCCCTGGGCTGAATCCTCTACTCTCCCCCTCCCTGCCGCACCCCACTCTCACCTCCCCCTCTCACCAAGCCTGAGGCTGGGTGGGGTCAGTTGGTGGTGCAATATGGCAATGGTATTTCCCGCCCAGGGAGGTTCTGATGGCACCTGAACTGGTTGGGGGGGGGAGGGGTCGGGGAACAGAATGGTGGATTTTCCTGGACTGTGCAAAGTCTGGAGAATCCAGACCTTCTGGCATTTGTTCAAGGGAGTCAGAGCTGATGGGAATGGAAGTTATCCAGGATTCTGACTGGCAGGAAGGGAGGAAGGGCTGTGAAATGCTGGCCTAGGGAATGGAGTTGTATCCATTCAGCACACGTGGAGGAGTACCTACTGTGCGCAGGGACATGTAAGAGAAACCCGGGGAAGAGGTGATCTGACAGGTGCCTCCCTCGCAGTTTGGAAAAATCTGAGCAGGTACAGGAGTGCCTGTCTGCTGGTGGGTACTGGCTGTCTGTGGCAGGCTCTGGCCTGATGTCCGCTAGTAAGGTGGAATGTTGATACTGGCCTGGAGAGAGTCCTGGGCAGGACCTTGTGGCCTGAAGGCAAATTGAGGAGTGGGCAGCTGAGGCTGGAGGGCAGGAAGTGGTGAAGTAGGGTTAAGAGTTCTGGCTGCACGTTCCTAGGAGGAGGTTTCTTTTTTCTTTTCTTTCATT